GCCCCCCCCCCCCCCCACACACACACTGCAATCTGATTGTAACACTTCGGGCATGAATTATAAATCCGTCCGCTCCCCGGCGTTCTCGGCCATTTGTTATTTTTATCAGATTGTATAGATATTCATAGGACGCCGTGCGCATCATAGCGCTCCGTCTTCTGAAAGTCTAACGTTTGTATTGTGATTAAGCTGCCAATTATTTTTGCTCTTATCCGATCTTTAAAGTAATATTAAGGTGTGGGGGCGTTTTTTTACCTTAATGGAGAACTATGAGGGGGGAGGGGCTTCTCACTCCTCCTCATAGTTCTAGCCGACCTGTGACAATGAGACTGTCACAGGTCGGCTCAGTAGATCGGGAGGTGAGCGAACACATACCGTCGCTCGCTCACTTCTCGATCCTGTCACGGCTCTCTGCCATGACAGGGGAGGGGCTGGATTCCCCGCTCTGATCCTCAAGTGCTGACTGGCGCAACGGACGGGGGAAGGGGCGGGTACAGCTAGCTCTGCCTCTAGATAGGAGGAGCCAGCTGTCACTCACGCAGCTGGGCGGATCCCGGCACAATTGTCGAGATCCTCTCCGGCTGCGGCGTCTCAGTATACCGCGAGCTGTAGCTCCCTATATACTGAGCGTAGGGGGACGGGAGGACGCTAGTTTGTCTCCTCCCGTTACCCTAAGGAGAACTATGGGGAAAAAACACTGACCCCATAGTTCTCCTTTAATGCAGTGGTGGCGAACCTGGGCACTCCAGCTGTTTTGGAACTACAAGTCCCATGAGGCAGATGCATGTTGGGATTTGGAGTTTTGGCACAGCTGGAGTGCCAAGGTTTGCCACCACTGCGCTTAATGCATCCTCTGCATTAGGGTAAAAACGGCCCAGCACCTTTTTATTCTATCCCAGTCTCCCCCCAGCCCCCGTCAGGTGCGCTCGTCCCGGCCGCCGGTCCCAAAGCGTTCCTCGATCTTCCGGGTTGCGGGGGGAGGATACTGATGGCAGAGGGGCCGTAGGCTCCTACTGCCATCAATCAAAGAGGGAAGGGGCGTGGCCTGCCACAGGGCTGTGTGTGGCTATGGACGCACACAGCCACTGCAGAAACGAGCGGGCACGGGTGCCTCCACTAGAATGATGGTGGCACCCGTGCGGGGGGGGGAGTTTGCTGCGGGGAGCCACTTAATATCACTTTAAGAAAAAAATATAGAGGTGTGCGCGTGAGAAAGCAGCAGTGAGCGGTCTTTATTACAGGAGGGGGGCGGAGACAAGACCAGTCACCCTGCAGAAGGAGAGAGAGCGGCAGTGAGCGGTCTATATTATAGGAGGGGGCGGAGACAAGAGCAGTCGCCCTGCACAAAGAGAGATCAGCAGTGAGCTGTCTTTATTACAGGAGGGGGCGGAGACAAGACCAGTCGTCCTGCACAAGGAGAGAGATCGGCAGTGAGCGGTCTATATTATAGGAGGGGGCGGAGACAAGACCAGTCACCCTTCAGAAGGAGAGAGAGCGGCAGTGAGCTGTCTTTATTACAGGAGGGGGCGGAGACAAGACCAGTCGCCCTGCACAAGGAGAGAGAGCGGCAGTGAGCGGTCTATATTATAGGAGGGGGCGGAGACAAGACCAGTCACACTGCACAAGGAGAGAGAGCGGCAGTGAGCGGTCTATATTATAGGAGGGGGCGGAGACAAGACCAGTCGCCCTGCACAAGGAGAGAGAGCGGCAGTGACCGGTTTTTATTACAGGAAGTCTCACACTGGGTTACAGCACAGAGCTGGAAGAAATACACCGCACTCTTGCAGGAGGACAATGTCTGCTGATCCCGGAGTTGATTCTGCTCCCCGTAGCATTGCCCGGAGCCGGGTGCTTTTGTTAGATGGACTCACCTTTTTCAAGTTTTAGTCCCTCGCCTCTTTTAACTCTCTTCTTCTTCTTTTGTGTTGCAGAAAACTTCTCCGGGAAGATCAGTTGGAGGCTCAGACCAAGACCGCACAGCAGGAGGAGTTGGAAAGACGGAAACGTCTGGAACAGCAGCGGAAGGACTACCCGCTCCCTATAATCCCCACCATACCGGCGGCCTCTCTAGACTTCCTCAATGGTGCGTTTTCTGAGGGTCATAATCCGTCATCTCTGCCGCCGTTGGTTTTCCTGCCATTCCTGATTGGTCGGGAAGCTGGCCACTCAGGAAGCCGGGCACCGTGCAATGACGCAGCGCCCGGATTCCTGATTGGCCGGGAAGCCGGCTCCATGCTCTCTCATCATCTCGTGACGAGGTTGCCCAGAGTTTTTAGCTTTATGAAAGGCAGTTTTTTGACCCGTTTTTCCTTTTGATTGCAGAGGAGGACATCGAGCTGCGGCCCGCGGAGGTCTCACAACTTGTGGGGAACCAGGAGATCATCTGTTTGGATAGCAGCAGCTGCGAGAGCGACGACGATTCGCAGAGGAAAGTGGACAGCGTGACCGATGGTGAGGCGCAGCCACATGTCTGAGTTGTTGTTTGACCTGATACAAGTGTGATACAGGAAGGAGCTGCCGGGAGCAATCCATTCACTTTTTATTCTCTCTCCTCTCCTCCTCCTCCTTCCTCCGTTCTCCTCCTCCTCCTCCTTCCTCCGTTCTCCTCCTTCCTCCGTTCTCCTCCTCCTCCTTCCTCCATCTCCTCCTCCTTCCTCCATCTCCTCCTCCTTCCTCCCTTCCCCTCCTCCTTCCTCCCTTCCCCTCCTCCTTCCTCCATTCCCCTCCTCCTTCCTCCATTCCCCTCCTCCTTCCTCCATTCCCCTCCTCCTTCCCCTGTCTCCTCCTCCTTCTGCCATCTCCTCCTCCTTCTACTCAATTCCCCTCCTCCTTCTACTCAATTCCCCTCCTCCTTCTACTCAATTCCCCTCCTCCTTCTACTCAATTCCCCTCCTCCTTCTACTCCATTACAGAGGTGATTGAGCTGAGCTCTGGAGAGGAGGACTCCCTGCATGTTGTAGACAGCGGAGATTCCCTCCATGACGCCGACCATGATCTGGACATTGAGAACAGCGGCTCTCATGTCAACGATGCTTTGAACCTCCCTGATGCCTTTGGGCAAGTTCTTGTCAACATCAACCACCCGCCCAATGAGAAGGACCTATTCCTGTCCCCGCAGCTGGCCCAAGCGGTCAAACCTCATCAGGTGAGCATTTATTTTATGTACCGTATATGTTCTATTCTGCCATGGTGTACAGAGGAGCTGACACTCTAATGCCCCCCCACAGTCACATCAGTCTCTGTACAGAGGAGCTGACACTCTAATGTCCCCCCCCAGTCACATCAGTCTCTGTACAGAGGAGCTTACACTCTAATGTCCCCTCCCCCCACAGTCACATCAATCTCTGTACAGAGGAGCTTACACTCTAATGTCCCCTCCCCCCACAGTCACATCAGTCTCTGTACAGAGGAGCTTACACTCTAATGTCCC